ATGCCCAACCAACCAGTCAATATTGCATCTTGAGAAGTGGGGTAAACATTTCTCAAGTCAAACCTCCAAATACTCCTAATTTTCAACCTTTAATTGAGATCAACTTTAGGGCCTTGTCGGCCTTGTCATAAGCACCAACACTTTGAGGTTTTTTTTTCTTTTTTTTTTTTTGGAAACGATAAATAACATTATATTAATAATGAACCATAATTACAAATATTAAACAACAACAATAATATGATAATTCGAGTATGATTTTTTTATTGTAAAGGTTTGACGAGTTCATAAAAGAAGTCAGTGTATAAAGTAAATGGCAGTTAGGTCCGAGAAGTAACTCTCACATCCATTGCACTTGATATATATTTTCTTGATATATTCACCACTTGTTGCAAGGGAGCTTATATATACAAACAAGTCTTGGGACTAACTGGGATCAAGTAACTAGTAAGTTACAACTACCATGTCTCTTTGTGCTTGCCTCTTTTTTTTTTTTTTTGGGTTCCATACATTTGCCGTGCTTCAATTCTCTCCATAAAATATGCAGCTGGTGAATGATTTACATCTTTTCTGATTAAAAACAACACAAAAAAACAAAACTATTGCCAGAGATACATAGGTAGATATATTTGCATTAAACAATGCAGATTGAGTATAGTATCCAACTGGAAACCGCGAAAAAAAAACTACATAAACTATCCATTTTATCGATCCTATAGCGGACGCTTGCACAGTTGAAAGGCTAATACCGATTCTCATTCTTTTACTCGATTTGTATGTGTGAAGATGAATTATTAATGCAGTTTGGATATATAATTAACTTGGTTAGCTGCAACACATTTTAGAGGTGGTGTGGTGCTTGACAGATCTTTGTTTCATACAGAGTCAACGAAGCCCTCTTTGTCCATTACTCGTCTCATCTCTCTTTTCTCATTATTTTTTTTTTTTATCTTTATTCTTCTAGCAAGCTAATGTTCATCATCATTATGATCAAATGTGACTTCTTGTCCAGGTTTTGAGTAGAAGATCATGACAGAAACTCTCATCAGATTTATACTTTGGCCATTAGTTATAAGCTTCATCCCTTTATACATTCTTTTCTTCGCCAAAATAAAGATTAAGAGAAATCATGCACGAATACCTAAGCTACCTCCGGGACAAAGAGGATGGCCCGTAATAGGCCACAGCATAAGCTGGTACAATGCTGTTGCAAGCTCTCATCCCCCCTCTTTTGTCGAGCAACAAGTTAAAAGGTAATCAACAGTGTATTATTAGTCGCGATAATATGTTTTAAGATAGTAGTTTGATGATTTTACATATTCCCGAGTATAAACCACAAAAGATGATAACTTTTTTTTTTTTTCTTGTCTTTTTGGTTTTTACTATTTTGTGGACAGATTTGGCAATATATTCTCTTGCAGCCTGTTTGGGAAGCGGGCAGTTGTATCGGCCGACCCATCATTTAACCGATTCGTAATGCAGAATGAAGGGAAATTGTTCCAGTCGAGCTACCCGAAATCGTTCAGGGATTTGGTGGGCAAAAATGGGGTGATTAATGCACAAGGAGAGCAGCAGAAGAAGCTTCACTCGATCGCATCTAATATGATGCGGCTGGACAAGCTGAAGGTTCATTTCTTGGAGGATATTCAGGTTGTTATCAAACACATTGTCATTAATCTTCATCACGATCAAGTTGTTCATCTCCAGGATGTTTGCAGAAAGGTTGGATGAATTATTTTATTCCATTTTGTGTTTAAAAAAAAAATAAAAAAAATTGCATATGCTGAAATGTAGCTCAATTATATTTTTTCTTACTTTCTCAGGTGGCGGTTAATCTGATGGTGAATCAACTGCTAGGGGTATCGTCTGAATCGGAAGTGATTGAGATAGCAGAGTTGTTCTCTGATTTTGCCGATGGCTGCCTTTCTCTTCCCATCAATTTGCCAGGCTTTCCCTATCACAAAGCAATGAAGGTAATGAAATATAACAAGAATGTGCATATATAGTTGTTGACTTAAGCTTGTATTTCCACACGGCGTTTATTTATTTATTTATTT